TGACCCCCGAGAACCCCTCCTGAGACCCTCTCTGCTCCTGCACAGCTCACCTCTCGTTTGTCCTGTGGCTGCTGTGCTGATCTTCCACGCAAAGGCCTTCTGAAACTTTTCCTAAAATGGAAGCCCAAGAATCACATTTCTGTGAAGTTTCGGTGTTCAACTATCCTCAGACATTTCTCCCCAGAAATGTCCTGTTGAGAACCTGACCCACTAGCCTTACACAGAGTCATCATCTGACAAACAGCTGGGTTAACCTCATAAGGAAAAAGTGGCTTCCAAACAAAGCAGCTTCGCCACTTCAGACGTCATCAGTGTCAGATACAGGGCTCAAAAAGAAAAGCAACTTCATACACAGCACGAGGTTTCCAAAAACACACTCCTCCCTGCCCCAGGAACCCAATGCACACAGTAGGGACACTAAGGGAGTTTCCTGTTGTTCAACCAAGGCCAGAAGAGAAGGGCAGTGGGCGCGAAGATTCTCAGTCAGGGGGGCTGTTAGACACGTTCCCCCGGCAGCGTGGCCATGGCCTCCTCCCTCACCAGTGCACGACCCGTCCACACCACAGGCTCGGGACAGGCCTGATGAGCAAGGCCTGTCCACTGTCTAAACACCAAAGCGCAGGGGTGACGCCGTCCTCACCTACGAACTCCAGGTTCCTGACAGTCTCCAGCATCACATCCCTGTAGAGCATCCTCTGAGCCGGATCCAGGAAAGCCCACTCCTCCTGCGTGAAGTTCACAGCCACGTCCTCAAAGACCACTGTCTCCTAAAACATACGATGTACGTGTGTTGCAGAGCGAGGGCTGGGCAGGGGGCTCCATTCACAGCAGTTTGGCCAGGATTCTGGGGCTCCTCTCACCTCCCCTGTGGCTCAGCCAGCACCGCTGTCTACCGTGTCTACACACACTAATGCACAGATTCATCAGTCCCACCAACACGGGGGCTTGTCCCGATATTCCCACCCTGACACGTAAGTCGTATTCTTCTTTATCAGAAGGGTCAAGGACACAGTGGAGAAGTAAAATACTACGCAAATGAAACAGCTCTATTCTCACCACTGGGCCAACTGACAACAGCATCATAACAGACAGAGAGGAGACTGAGATTGTTAACACATTCAGCTTGCTCGGTTCTACAAGCAACACTCTTGGCACAAGCGCTCAGGAAATCAAACGATGAACTGTACCAGGGAAATATGCTGTCAGAGACCTCTCCAGAGTGAAGAGCAAGGATGCCAGTCTAGACAGTAAGGTGCACCTGATCCTGGCCATGATCTTTACAATTACTTGCTATGTATCTGAGAGTTGAACAACGGCCAAGGATGATAGAATTAATGCCTTTGAGCTGTGGTGCTGGAGAAGAGTCTTGAACATACAATGGACGGCCAAAAGAACTAACAGATCTGCCCGGGAGAGGGTGAAACCAAGCTGTTCCTTGGAGGTAAGATTTTAAAACTCTGTCTTACATTCTTTGGGTATGCCATCAGGAGGGAGCAGTCCTTGGAGAAAGGACATCATGCTCAGAGGGGTCGAGGGTGCAGGAGAGGGAGAACTTGGATGAGACAGACTGATACAATAATTGGAGTTATGAGAGTAGGTGTGTCAGAGACAGTGAGATTGTCTCAGGAGAGAGCAGGGTTCCGAGCTATTGTGCACAAGGTAGCTATGAGACATAGTTGACTTGATGGCACATAACACCACTGACATTTGTTCAAATAGCACTTCCTAAAATTCTTCAGAGTCAAAAAATTCTTTTTGGTTCAGTGATTCTGTGTATTCCTCCCATCTTCTTTTAATGCTTCCTGGATCTTTCAAGACTGTGCCCATAGCATCACTCAGTACTGCAATTTAAGGCTTAAATTTGGTTTTTAATTCTTTCAGCTTGAGAAATGCTGAACAAGTTCCTTCTCTTTTATTCTCCAAATCTAATTCTTTGCATATCTCATTTTAGTATTTTATCTTCTCAACCTGTCTTTTGACATTTTCTGTTCAGCTCTTTAATTTCAGCTCTCTTCCTTCTGTTATGGCTTCTTGATGTTCTAATTCCATTTTAATAGTCTGTTCTAACATCCATTTTTTTTTCTTTCTTTGTAACAATCTTTTTTTTCTTTTCATGGATGGTATCGTCAATGTCCTCCCACAGTTCCTCTGGTCTTCAATCATTGCTATTGAATACCTCAAAGCTCTTCTTGAGACGATTCCTAAATTCAACTGGGATAGACTCAAGGTACTATTTTGGTTCTTGCAGAATAATTTTCATGTTCTTCAGCTTTAATTTAAACACAGACATAAGTAATTTATGGTCTGTTCCACTAAGTTTGGTCTGGTTTTGACTGTAGATATTGAGCTTCTCCAATGATTCTTTCCACAAATATAGTCGATCTGATTCAATGATGACATTCAAGCATCACTGAAGGCATGAGCAAAAAATAAGGCCCCAGGAGTCTGTGGGATATCGATTGACATATTTCAACTATCAGATGCAGCCCTGGATGTGCTCCCAAGTTTATGCCAGGAAATTTGGAGGACAGTTAACTGGCCAACTGACTGGAAGAGATCCTTATCTGTCCCTATTCCCAAGAATAGTGACCCAAGGGAACGAGGCAATTATAAAAAATATCATTAATATCCCATAGAAGCAAAATATAACTGATGATCATTCAAAGAACAGTACATTGACAAGGAACTACCAGAAGTTCAAGCTGAATTTAGAAGAGGCTGTGGCTCCAAGGAGATCACTACTGATGTCAGACAGATCTTGGCTGAAAGCAGTGAATATCAGAAGAATGTCTATTTGTGCTTTATTGACCACGCAAAGGCATTTGACTGTGTGGATCATAACAAATTATGTTGAACATTGAGAAGAATAGGTATCTCAGAACACTTAATTGTGCTCCTATGACATCTATACCTAGACCTAGAAGCTGTGGTCTGAATGGAGCATGAGAACACGGCATGGTTTAAAATCAGGAAATGTGTGTGCAAGCATTGTATCCTTTCTCCATACCCATTCAATCTGTATGCTGAGCAATAATTCACAAAACTGAACTCTATGATGAAGAATGTGGCATGAGGGTTGGAGGGTGACTCATCACAGCCTGTGTTATGCGGATGACACGACTTAGCTTACTGAAAGTGAGGATATAAAGCAATTGCTACAGAAGATCAAGGACTTCAGTATGGATTACATCTCAGCATCAAGAAAAGGTCCTTACCATAGGACCAATAAGCAGCATTATGAAAGATGGAGAAAAGATTGAAGCTGTCAATGATTTCATCTTGTGTGGATCCACAATCAACACGTTTGGTACCAGCAGTCAGGAAATCAGGAGACACATTGTTTTAGGCAAGTCTGCTGTCAGAGACCTCTCCAAAATACTAAAGGGCAATAAGGTCAGTGTGAAGACTGAGGTGCCCCTCATTCAGGTCTTGGTCTGTCTTCTCAATCACCTGCTATGCATCAGAGAGGTGGACAATGCACAAGGATGACAAAAGAAGAACTGGTGCCTTTAAGCTGTGATGTTGGAGTAGGGTACTGAATATCCCACGGACTGCCAAAAGAACACACAGTTAAGTCTTGGAAACCGTGCAGTCAGAATACTTTTTGGAGGCAAGGATGGTGAAACTTTGTCCGTATGTTTTTATGAAGGGTCACGGCTTGGAGAAGGGGTCATGATGGGGAAGATGGAAGCTCAACGCAAAAGAGGAAGGACCCTCGGCACGACAGATTGACACAGTAAGTGTAACAACAGACCGAGTATGTCAGAGATTGTGGGGATCACACAGGCAGACTTCACTGCTAACAAAAGACTTTGTCAGAGATTGTGAGGATCCCACAGGCAGGTTTCATTGCTCACAATGGACCTACGTATGCCAAGACCGTGGGGATCACACGGGCAGGCTTCACTGCTCACTGGGGTTGCTATGAGTCTCACTCAACTTGACAGCACAGAACAACAGAAACATTCATCTGTATACTCAACAAATAACTGAAGAAACCGGCAGACATGAAGAATCAGGATTGGAGACCGACGCCTTGACAGCTATGCCATGCAGTGTGAAGCTGTCTGGAGCCACCCAGTGGTGGACGAGGCTAAAGGACATGTGCATTTTTTGTCGTTCGGTTTTTTGGGGAACATTTTGTGTTTGGTTTTGTGGGGCTTTCTTTTTTTAGAAACAAGCACATAATAACATGTCAAAGTGGTTCCCTTTTGAGAGGAGGGTGTAATTGGGAATAGAAGCAAACTATACCTCCCAGCATGATGTTCTTTTTCATGGACTACGTCTTACTTGCGTAGTTAAAAAACACAATAGAAATGCCTTGCATATAGCTTAAAGAAACACAACTGACGCTGCAAACTTGACACGGTATATGAAATTTAGATCACTGAAGCAACCTAATACTTTAATGAGGAGAAAGGTAAAAGAAAAGTCTGTGAAATTATGCAGAATATTAGCTTTACCAGAAGGACTCCTATTATACTTGGGTCCTAATGCAGGGTCTGTGAGGCTGTGTCTGACATACTCTGGGCATGTAGCAAGGAGGGACCAGTCCTTGGAGAGAGACATCATGCTTGGAAGGGTGGAGGGACAGCGCAGGAGAGGAAGACCCTGGATGAGAAGGACTGATTCAGCGATTGGGGTAATGAGGGAAGGTATGTCAAGAGACAGTAAGGTTGACACAAGATAGAGCAGGTGTTAGAGCTGCTGTTCATAGGGTAGCTATGAGTCGCAAGTGATTTGATGGCACAGAACAACAACAATGACCCTTTTTACGTTCTGTCTCATTACGTAACAATTTTATATGTGACAGAACCAAGAAACATTTTTAATTAAATGAATCCATATAGAACAAAGCATTTCTCCCAAACTGTGAAAATAAAAAATATTAAGATTTAAAACCAAATAATCTATGATGTGCAGATGCTACAGGCTTGCATGCTGAGAAGCGGAGAATTTGAAGCACTTACAGGACTTCAGGGCTCAGGAGGGACAATCCTTCACCAGCCACTCTTGTTGGCAATGCTGCGTGCTACACGCTGTGTCATCAGAGCTCTTTATAAAGTGGTCCAGAGCAAAGCTGTCCCTTGAAGACCAGGATGCACCTGACTCACGTCATGATGTTTTCAATCACCTCATATGCATTTACACATTGGACAATGAATAAGGAAGACCAAAGGAGGAGTGACGCTTTTGAATCATGGTGTTCGTGAAGAGCATCGAACATCTCAGGGACTTCCTGGAAAGGGCAACCCTGTCTCAGGAGATGTACTATCAGAATGATCCTTAGAAGCAAACATGGTGAGACCTCCTCTCATGTAACTGAAGTCAAGTCAGACCTCATCTCGTAATACCTGCAGTAGTAGGTCATGAGGAAGTACTCGTCCCTGGAGAAAGGCATCACCCTTGGTAAAGGAGAGAGGATCAGTAAGACCGTCTATGAGATGGGTCGACACCAGCAACAGCGGTGCGAGTGGCACAGGCCCAGCACGGTTCCATTCTGCTGAACACGGGCTGCAGTGACAGAACCAACTCAGCAGCAGTAACAACATGTCCACTAGCTACGTGACCTCACCGTTTGTTACCTGAAGCGCACAAATGAAAACCTGCACAGAGAAGTACCTGTATCTCTTCACAATGGCTACAAGCTGGATGCAAACTAAAGGGGAACAGGTAAATGGATACACAACCACAAGAGGGCCGCTTTCCAGGGGCAAAAAGAAACAAGTTATCAAGTCACCAAAAGGCATGAAGGACTTTACATGCACCTAGCTGCTGTATGATTCTAACTGGATGACATACTGGGAAAGGCACAAGCACTGAGACCAGAAATGACCAGAGGGTGTCAGGGAACTGGGGGGCAGGAGGGTGTGAGATGACATGAGGGCAACATGAGGGCCACGGTGGACGCAGGACACTCACCACCAGTCAAAACCCATAAGCTGCGAATCAGAGTGGACCCTAATGCAAACAGTATGTTTTAGGTGAAAATAATGAATTTATGACGGTTCATCCACAGAGTGGAATGGATGATGTCACTCCAGAAAACAGACTGAGTGAGGAGGAGAGAGAAGACATGAAACTCTCTACTCCCTGCACAACTCCGTCGTAAACCAAGATAAGGCACCTACTTACTGAATTATCTCAAAACAGACTGAGATAAATGGAAAGATGGCACACGGTTCTTAGGAACGTTGTTGTTAGGTGTCATCAAGTCAGCGACAACTCCTACCGACCCTGTAAAGGACAGAGTTGACCGCAGCCCTCTCCTGGGGCTCCTCACATCTCTGTCACGCTCACGCCCACAGTGGCAGTGCCTGTACCGAGCCACCCTGCTGATTCTTCCTCTCCACCTTTCCAAGCACTGGTCCCCCCTGAACACAGCCTAATATGTGAGACAAAGTTACACTCTCCTTGCCCCTGGAGCACCCTGGCTGCACCTCCTCCAGGCCAGACTTGGGTTTTTTTTTTGGCAGTCCATGCGATAGTCAGTATTCCTCTCCAACAATAAAATGACAGTTACCAGTTCTTCAGTTATGCTGACCCTCCAACAGGTTTTCAGAGGCAGTAAATCCCACGCACGGGAGGAGACTGTCCATCCATCCCATGGAGCAGCTGGTTGACCTGAACCACATGCCTTTGGGATTGCAGCACAGCTTCTTACCATTGGGCCACCAGAGCTCCCTTCATGGCGGACATCGTAAGGCTTACAAAATGAATGTACTCTTCAAAAACAGTCAACCATACGAGACCAAAAGGAAAGCATCTGACCAAAAAGCCATGCTCAGTGGTAGGAAGAGACGGGAAAGGATGAACAGAGACACTGGGGACTAGAGAGTCCTGCTACAGGGAACAGCTGAGAGGATGCTAATGTGCTCTATAAACTTTCACCCCAAACACGATTTAAATTACAAAGAGAGAGTTCAGTTAGCGTCCTGGGAGGTGCCAGCATCCCCAGGAGAGACCTATGGTCGTCATACAACACCATTAAGCTTCATCTCTAATTTTTTTTTTTTTTTAGGACTACAGTTACACATCTACCAGGAAGAACAAATGTGCAGAAATAACCAAAATACCTTGGCTTACAAGGCAGGGGCCGCCCTAACAAAGAGCAAGGATTGAGCAGAGGGAGGGCAGCCAGAAGGGTCACCCCAAAGGGAAGAGCGGGGTCCTCTCGACGATGGACTTGAGCCCCTGTGGGTGGAAATTTGGTGCTGGTTCTGCTTTACCTCTGCAAGCACTGTTCACTAAAGAAAACCAAAGGGGTCCTACAAACCATGACTTAATCTCTAACTCTTTTCCAATTTAATTGAAAGCTACTTTTATGCACAGGCTCCAATCTGAGATTTTCAACACTAATATTTTATGAAAGTACAAGACACCAAAAATGAAATTCTCACTTTTGCAAGAGATTTCTTCACAAATGGCATCAAAGCCAGAAGCTGCACTGAAATCCCAAAGGTGCACAGTTCAAATCCATCAGATGCTCTGCTGAAGGAGGAGAGGCAATCTCCTCCTGTGCCAGCTGGATCCAATTCGAGGAACACAAAGAAAAAAAAAGGCTCCAGAGTTAGTACTTCTCTATCCCAGAACACAAGACGCAGCAGGAGGTGCTGCGGGGTCAGTGGTTGTGGTGGCTGTTGTCGTGTGCTGTGGAGTCGACCAGGACCCATAGTGACCCTATCAACAATGGCTCTGAACCCTGCCTTATTCCGAGCCAGCTTCACCATCTCTGATACACCTGACCCACTGCCTCAATCACTGTGTCAACCCATCTCATCCAGGGTCTTCCTCCTCTGCACTGAACCCCCTCTCTGAAGCATCATGTCCCTCTCCAAGGACTTGTTCCTCCTGACAACATGCCCAAAGTATGCGAGACAGAGCTTCTAAATCCTTGCCTCCAATAAGCAAACTGGTCTCACTCTCCAGGACAGACCTGTTTGTCTCTTGGCAGTCCATGGTGTGTCCAGCACCACAACTAAAGGCATCAATTCTTCTCCTGTTCTCTCTAGTCATGAGTGATAGGAGTGTAGAAATGAGTAACTCGTGCAAAACCCTTAGAGTCTAATCTGACAAGATCTTGGCATTTTTAAGAATGAACCTAAGTCTCTTTTCTTTCCCTTCATAACAATCAAAATAGCCACTCCATTGCCCCAGGAGCAACTGCTGTTAGGTGCTGTAAGTCACCTACCACTCACAGGGACCCTACACACAACACAGCTGAACCTCGTGCTAT